GACATTAGGCAGCATATAGGTTACCATATAATGTAGTAAATTTCTGTGAGGGAGCTTTTTGAGGCACTGAATGCTTCAGACGTCTGGTTCCTATCAGCACCACTGTGAACGATTCTGACTTAGTAACACCAAACCACTCTGAAGGGCAAGCCATTTGATATTGTGCCAATTTGGAAAATTTGGTGGAGTTTCCCAATAATGCAAGACAGCGTAATAGGATGATTTTTTTTTGCTACGCTGCTCAGCCACGGGCACGCCATGCATGGACTGGATGTTGTGCAAATGTGCTTGCTGTGTGACCAATCATGTGATGATGGACAAGGATCATACCGTCAGGTTGAAGGGGAAGGGGATGGGCTGACTGTCTGCAGAGCACAGAGACTGGAGGAGTGCAAGATGTGTGAAAACAAGATGAGTGTCGCAAAGTCACAAGCGAAATAGCATTTGGATGATATTGACAACACAAAGGCAGAATGTAAAATTTTTGAAGAGGACAGTCAGTTTGAAGAATTGTCAAATTGTGTACCTGCTACTGAATGAGGAAAAGCCAGTGCGTCTACTGGAACTGTTGCTGCTGCTGTGTCTACAGCCACCCCTCATGCATTCGTTACATCACAACCTATTTCCACAACCCAGAGCTCTATGAGCCAATTTATGATGAAAGTTATGACCCCAGCACAAAAGGTCACAGTCGATGAGGCACTGGCTTAAATGACTGCAAGAAATTTCCAACCATTCTCAGCTGTGGAGGACAAGGGATTTAGTAGCTACACCCATGCACTCAATCCAACGTATGTTCTTCCAAGCAGGAAAACGTGCCTCATTGCAAGAAAGAGTTAAAAAAGTGAATGCTGGACATCCAGAGCCACCACTCTCTTCATGCCTGTTTAAAATGATACGCTGCTGTCCTGTCTTCTGGACTGCTTTGAGTTTAGTGACAGACACACTTGGAGAAATGCTAATAGTGGCAAAAGACTGGCAAGTAGAAAACAAAGTGATTTGCTGTGTTAGTGACAACAGAGAAGCTAAAGTCTACTCAACGCCAGATGGTTATGCCTGAGCTGAGGCCCAAACAAGAATGTGTTACAAAGTGGAACTCAAGATTTCATGTGCTTAAATGGGTTCTGGAGTCCAAGGATGCTGCCAACTCTACCCTGGCCATTATCAACGCACCTGCTGATACACTGAGTCGAGAAGAATGGGAGGTGCAAGAGATACGCACTGTTCTGGATCTCTGAGCAGGTCACTGTGGAGATCAGTGCAGACAGGTACAGTGGACAACTGTTGTTACATTATTTATTATTATATAATTACATATTAGAACTGCATATTAGAGATAAATAGCAGTGATAATAGACAATAATAAACATAAAGTCCATATACCACATAATAAAACAGAGCAGAATTTTCTCAGGTACTGCTTTCTGTTTTTTCAGCTATGTGACAGCCTCCAAAATGTTACTCCTGTGCAAGGGTCCGCAGTGAGTGGCAGCCCACCACCAGACGAAAGGAACAGTAACCACAAGGAAAGCGGCAGGTGGCTGCTTTCTGTGCATCTATGGAAAGAAAGTTCCACAGAATGGAATACTATACTGTACTTTCAGAAACCACCATACTGGACCTGAGGTTCCAAAAGCTGGCCTTCAATGACAACAACGCTGGAGATGAGTAACAGCAGCAGCAAGATTGCTGCCCCAGATGCCAGGCGGCTCCACCACCAGGAGGCCAAGAGGGAGGAGCAGGGGCACTAGAAGTGGAGCCACTAACATCTGCTGTTTGGAGGATCTTTGAGGAAAGAGCATCAGGAGACACTGCAAGTGCAAGAAGGAATGCTATGCTGAATGTCAGATCCTATCTTGAGGAGCACCTTATCCAAAGAGCCGCAGGCAGGCTGAGCTGGTGGGAGACCGAGGCCTCAAACTACCCACGACTTGTCAAGGTGATGGCAGGAAGACTGTGCATCGTAGCGACATCAGTCCCCTCAGAAAGAATCTTCTCCAAGACAGAGAGAAGAAACCGAGTCAGCACGTCTTGAGGCACTTCGTCAAGACAGTCTTAAAATGTTTCCCTGTTAAAAATGGTGTGATGCTGCTGTTTTGCACATTGTCATTTGTTTCGTGTTTGGTATGTGGCACACTGTGTTCTGAGTGTGATTTGTTTCGGATGGTTGGTGTTTTGGAAGGTTTATTATTTATTTTATTATTTTATTTTAACATTCAAAATAAGCGCTCGATATAAATCTGTAATTGTGCTTGATGCTTTTACATTAATGCTTTTACACCAAACCTAATGTGTAAAATAATGGTATTTCGGGAAATTGTAAGGTTTACTGTAATTACATTGAACATTTTAAGTGATATAAATGCACACATCCCAATCAAAGGTCAAAGCACTGCTGAAATTGACTGAATTATAAAAGCCAAAAGTACTAAATGAAGAGCCGTTTGGGAGCTGAAAGAGCCGGTGGCTCTTGTTGCTGCGCTGGGCCAAATGATCTGGCTCCCAAAAAAAAACCCGGAATTCACTGGTGTAATGGTGGTAGATTTGAATTCTTCTATAGATTTGAATTCTTATGTCTGAATCTTATATAGTCACCAGCTTTGAGAGAGACACTTCAGCGACACTGAACACCCTAAACACTGAAATTATTGTTATCGGTGCTCAATAGTGTGATATAGTTGTGACAAATTAGGTTGAGAAGCACTGGAGTATTCCTTTAACACCCGTTAAATTCTGTGTTTTCTTATTTTATTCCTCTTCTTGTGCACAGAGCCCAGAGGTGAAGTGTGTACCATGTCACTCGTCCTGTACTGAGTGTACAGGCCCAGGGCCCTACAACTGCACCAGCTGCCATGCTCTAGAGCGCCTCACTGAGGATGGGAGATGTTTATCCTGCTGTGGAGACAAACACATGGACTCCTCCCCGGTGCCCTGGGAGTGCTGCCACTGCGGCGATGGTAAGACCTTCTGTCCTGTGTTAAAAACAGTGGGCCTCACCAACAATTCTTAAGAAGAAGTTTCTTCTTAAACCCCACTTCTTAAACCAACGTTTTCTTATTTGGGGTTTGTTTGTAGGTAAGAACAGAATCTACACACACTCGAGCGCAAAGCTTTGAACAGTTCTACGGTTTAAGAACACGCCATGAATCTGATGTAGACTTTTTTCTTAGGACCTTTCTCAAGATGAAATCTAAGAAAAAATGTAGGTACCGGTGAACGAGGCCTATTGGTTTGTTCTATGTTCAGTTTAAATACATCCTACAAAGTGTGAGAAAAGCCATTCTCTTTTTTAAAACAATGAGATGTTTGAGAGTCTGAATTTAAAGGATTGGTACAGTGAAATGTCAGTTTACACGTTTTTCCACTTCCCCTTGTCTAGAAGTCAATCATGGCCCAAAACTCTTAACCCACTCAAACCGGAGCAGACTGGAGCACAGTATTACTTACTGTAAGCTATAAGAATAAACAAAACTTCACCATGTTGCTGAACGTTGCAGTCAGCCATTTTAGACAACGGGGTGTTTTGCTGAATTCTGACTCCCCAGCAGAGCTGGCTTCCCTTTTGTGGCCATGTCATGCCGAAATCTGGACGCTAGAGTTGTGATTTCTGATGTTTCTTTTTACAATCTCCAGTTAGAAAATCTTAACCGTTGTTCATAAACAGAAACAACAGAACTGTGAGTGTAATCTGTAGCGTCCACACGCCTGTGTGACTTTTCTGACTTGAATTTGGCACAACGCTTGTTTTCTAAAGCTGCTGTTCAGCTGTTCATTTTTATAGTTCACAGTAAGTCATGCTGTACTCTGAACCACATTGTGTCTGCACACCCTTAATGAAGACATGGATGTGGTTTGAACGAGTTGAGAGATGCTTTGGGGATGTATTTTAGTCAGCAGTGTTAGCCTTGCAGCTCCAGTTCTAAACTAAAGAAGTAAATTTTGGACTCCAAACATGTCTTGGCTGATGGACCATATCTGGGGTAAATGGAAAAAAAATGTTTTTTTTTGCCAAAACATTCCTTTAAGATCATAAATTAAGTGATTAAAATTTTTTTTAGCCATACAGTCATGTGCAAAAGTTTGAACACCCCTGGTCAAATGACATGTTTTGTGGATTTTTCACAGAGAAAACACTGCACGTTTTAATGCACATTTCCTGTTTATTTGCTGAATCTGTGGCCTGTGAAAAAGTTATTGCACATTTCATATGTTAGTTTTTATCTCTTATGCTCGTGGGTATATTTTGGTTTTTCCATCTGAATTCACATGACCAAATCATAAGACAAATTTTTCACAAAATAAATGTTAATTTTTATTTTATTTGTTTTTTGTAAAAGTTCCCCTCAAACTGACAGAACGTGTGTTTTATGATTATACACATATTGCTATATGCTTAAGATTTACTGCTGAAAGCCAAAAATCTTAGGCGCTCTTTGTATTATTGTATAAAAGTAATTTTTATAGAGCAGATCACTGAAGAGACGCCATCTGTTTATAGTGTATAGCCCAGATTTGCGGAAAAATGGGTCGACTTTCAGTAGACAAAAAAGTTCAGCTTCTTTTATTATAAGGGTTTAAAATTACATTACCCGTATATTTGACTGGAAAGAAGACAGTTACAGCTCTCATACGACACCCACTTTCTGAATGTAGCTTATGAAATATGAAAGTTATGAAGAATATGACAAAGTGCGTTTTGGAACCACCGGTGGTCTCAAAGAGTTTAAAAGGTTAAACTCAGCAAATACCTAGAAATCATGCAGTAAAATCTGTAGAAAAATGTTCTCTGTAGCGGATGTGTTGACCGAGAATGTTTTGCATACAACTGATTGGGTAGATTGATTTGAAAACATCCTTTTAGATTCACAGTTCTTCATTTTTTAAGCCAGCTCAGAGAACATATGCCCCAAATCAGTGTTGTCAGAAGAAAACCTCATATCTCCAAAATGATAAAAAGTAGGAAAAAACCTACTTTACTTTTAATGTAACTCAATGGAACCAGACTTTTTTCCAAGTCATTTTGGGTCATTTCTTTTGGTTCATTCATCATGAAATTTACACACAATGTAAAGGGCACTAGGTATTATATGAAGTTTTCTTCCGACAACAGCAAAATGTAAAATTACAGATAGAACATTTATGGTTTTACTATATTAGCATCTTGGAGAAAAGCATCGTTTAAGAAAAACGCTTTCTGGTCAGCACCTCTGTAACCATCTCTAAACGTGCTCTCTCACAGCTCTGTCTCTAGACTGGTGCGTCCTCGGGATCAACTTTGACTTCCACAGCAGAGAGCAGGTGCCTGCAGGTAACCCCGCCCTTGTTGCCATCATAGCGATATTCCTGCTGCTGGCCGTAGGAGTGGTGGTCCTCCTTTTCATGCACTGGCGCCCCAAACTGCCCTCCTTTCCATCTGTCAAATCAAAGGGCTACACCAAAGTGGACAAAGAGCCCTCCTTCACCTCTGCCACCCTGCGGGACAGCATTCAGGCAGAGTACTGCGATAGAGACGATGATGAAGAGGAGGACAAGGACAGTGAAGATGAGATCGTGTACATGGGGCAGGATGGAGTGGTGTATAAGAAATTTAAGTACGGCCTTTTAGACCAGGAAGAGGACGACGTGGAGATGGAGTATGACGACTCCATCTATGCCTTCAGATGAAGTGTGTAGGACTGAAGTATGTGGGACTCTTTAGTAGCACTTTTCCACTTTCGTTGGCTGCCAGAAAATTATTTATTAGAAATGTGTTAAGAAAAATGAAGAACAAATGAGATAAATATGAACAAGTAATCAGCAATGTCAATAAAAAGTATTTTCCAATATATTGGAAAAAAGTTGTATTGATGCATCAAACAATAACAGCACTAAAAATGACCTTTTTCAGGATCAACTGAACATCATCTTCTTATTATTGACTTCCAGTGACAAGTTATTCATTTTCCAGTTTTAAGAAAGTATTTATTGTGTCCACTCTTTACCTTTAGAACACCTTCCATTCTTTTCAGGAGACTCACTTTCAGTTCAGTCTTAGAAGTTGGTTACATGTTCTGCTTTTTTATGCTCTAATTATTCTCAGATATAAATGCAGACTCATCAGTAGATAGACTGCCATACACTCAGAAGTCCAGTTTCAGTGTTCAGCGCAAAATTTCTTTTTCTGTCCATTTCTTTTTCTCAGAAATGGCTTTTTGACAGCTACACATCCTTTCAGACTCATAGTGTTGAGTTGTCTTCTCACAGCGAAGGGATGGACAGAAACACTTGGATTTTTCAGATCTGAGACAGGAGTGGAGCTTGACTTTCTCCCAAAGATGAAAGCTTTAAGTACTGTTTATAGGGTATATAGGTTACTGTTTAAAAGGGACAGTTTCGGTTGTCTACAAGGTCTTGTGTTGTTATGAGTCCCATTTTCTCTGTCACTTTTAATTATCTTTGAGCTCTTGAAAGTTCAAAAACTTTCATCTCCTCAGTAATGTCTCCTTTTGCGTAAGCTGACATTTGTGGTGAGAAGGTGTTTGTTTTCTGATTTTCATCACACGTGTTTTTGATCTTTTTAATGACTTCTAATTACTGGAGCACACATATTGTTTATACTTGTCTAGACAGTTTGCAAAACATGTTGCCCTGAGGGAGAGTAATGTTTCGATAACATCTTGAAAAATCATTTGTGGTGACGGTATTAAATATCAAATATTTCTGGTGTTGGAGGTGTTCAGCTTGGTCATAGCTGTGGTTCACCTCAGTGCAGCAAGTTGTAGATAATGTTTACCTTTACGTCACCTTTATGCCAGTACTGTAATTAGACTGCATACCAGAAACCCTCATATGGTCTTCAGGTCTGTGGGATCCATTTTCAATGTTTACCAAAAGAAAAAAAATTGTGATTTATTATTATTATAACCGCAGATTTCTTGGCCTTTGCTTGTTTTCTGTTATGAACATACACCGATCAGGCATAACATTATGACCACTTCCTTGTTTCTACACTCATTGTCCATTTTATCAGCTCCACTTACTATATAGGTGCACTTTGTAGTTCTATAGTTACAGACTGTAGTCCATCTGTTTCTCTGCATACTTTGTTAGCCCCCTTTAACCCTGTTCTTCAGTGGTCAGGACCCCCATGGACTAGGTACTATTTGGGTGGTGGATCATTCTCAGCACTGCAGTAACACTGACATGGTGGTATCTAGCCCCGACACCAATCCACTGGATCGGATTAGGCCAGGTGCTGGCAAGCCAAATGTTAAGAAGAGCCATTTTGTCCTTTCAACAAAAATCAAACCACCTTGGGAGCCACAACATTTTATGTCCATTTTACCATCTTGGCTGTAAATATATCTCTGTATGTGCTGATGTACTATTACAGGACAAAAATATATAAATGAAAGCGCAGACTTATTTTGCTCTGCTTTAAGCTTTAGCTCAGCTATAGCCGCTTTTCTCACATCTCCAACAGGAAACTTTTCCTCAAAAGTGAGATGATTTCTTGTAAAATCTCTCTAAACATTCAACTTTTTACGAGGCTGAAGTCGATTTCTCATTCACCAGGTTCTTGTTCGAATTTTCCCATTCCACCTCGTTTCGTTAGCTACTAGCTAGGCGAGACTGTTGTCTGTATTGCTATGGTGACCAGCACTCTGCGTGCCTTCAGAGTTAAAGGGTGAATTAGCAGATATAGGCTACATTAACTCCAGCATTTAAGACTGTTTATTGTTAAAACTGTATTAGAACGATCAGCAGAGCTTTATTTTACTGCAATGGAAGATTATTTTAATTTTACCTAAAGATCTAATTCTGCGGTCGAGCCGCAACAGGGCTAGTAAAAGAGCCGCATGCAGCTCTGGAGCCACATGTTGCCGACCCCTAGATTAGGAGATCCCTTGGCTGCTGAGTCACAATGATTCTTCCTTCCCTGATTTGCCAGCCGGATAAGAGACTGATAAGAGAAATCAACACACACAGCTAACTACAAGATGTTAGTGTTTTAATGCAAAGAGATCCAACTGTGTTTTGATTATCTACCCCATACAGCAAATATAACTTTAAAGCCAACAAATAAAAGTCTAAGTTCATTAAGATGTTTGCAGTCCCCAAAGCAACTGAGGCAAAAGCAAGTTACAAAGACAGATTTGAGTTTTAGCAACTTTAATGACAGAATATCTGGGAGACAAGCTGACATTGTACATACAGCTGGACAGACTGTATTGCTCTTATTAGGCTTAATCGCCCTCACTAGTGGGCTGCTCATTACTACTTACTTAAGCAATAACTAGACTGGATTAAGTCCCAGTGCATGTTTACTTGAGTATTTATACATCATAATCTTTTGCATATCATTTATTGATATGAAGACATCTTATCTAACAGGTCAGATACAGTTAACACTTAATCTAGAGGAACAGGTTAAGACTTAATCTAACATCTGACCAACTGTAATAAGCACAGTTCATGCAGACCCCATGTAATTCTTATAGGGGATGTTAACCCCTTAGTATGTTAACTGGAAATCTTTACTGGAGAATTGAGGGTCAGTTTGTCTTTATTGTGAGCTAATTGTGTTTTATTACTGGGGTGTTGATATGAATCAAAAGAAAATAAGCACATTATAGACCAAACCTGTGCTGGGAAATGCGTAATTCATCATAGTAGTAATGAGCAGACAGTTATTTACCAGCTACTGGCTTAATAAGAGCATTACAATGGCTTTAATGTCCCCCATTTTGATACGGTGATGATTTGTATCATTGGACGTGGACAGAGCACTCCCCAAAAAACTGAGGAAAATGTACATTTGAAGTTGGAGCATGTTATAAACTTCAAGGAACACCAAGATGGGTTTATTTATTTCTGTTGTTTTGCTTTTGATGTTTAAGGCACTGTACCGCATTTACAGCACACTACATACACGATACACAAGCATTTAAGAATGCTAGCTGTGCTGAAATTGTAATTATTTACATACGAAGGCAAGCGTGTTTACCAGTGTACTGACTATGGGAGACATGCACACAACATAATGGGTAAAATGTTTTGAAGCACACCTTTTCACTGGGTGTATCTAGTTTCAGTCAAGTTTTGATCTAAACAAGCACAGCTCATTTTAAAAACATATGACACAAAAGGTTCTCCGACAGATCTGTCAATCATGTGTGGTTATGATAAAGGAGATCTGCAGTAATATTGTGATTGTGAGCACATTTGAATATATGGGAGGTATATAGAATAAGAGAAGCACCACATAAAATATTCACACCCCATTTTATCAGATACACCAAGGAGAAGTCAAAGCCCACCAGTCAAAAAGTTAGTTATTCGTCTTGCAGATTTTTCTGAGGTCAGACCTCAATATCATTGAATGCATTTGGAATTGCTTGGATCACGCTGGACATTCAACCAACTTGCAAGACTAAACTTTGGACGTGTGGAAAAACATCCACTCTCGTTCACTCTATTAGACACACCTATCCTGTTGGTCCACCTTGCAGATGTAAAGTTGGAGACAACAGCTCATCTATTGCTGGACAGCTTGTGTTGGTTATCTTCTAGGTTTTCATCAGTGGTCAGTTTCTGGCCACAGGATGCTGTTGGCTGGGTATTTTTGGTCGGTGGACAATTCTCAGTTCAGCAGTGATGCTTGTACCAGTGCAATACAAACTACCACCGCCACTACCAAGTCAGTGCTGAGAATGATCCACCACCCAAGCAATATCTGGTCAGTGGTGGTTCTACAATGTAATTCCGTTGATGTACAGGTCAAAGGGGGCTGATAAACTGTGCAGCAGATGAGCTACAGTCAGTAATACTGTTAGTTCACAGTAGAAGCTGACATGATGTGCTGTTAGAATAAGTTAGCTTAGACAAACGGGGTACATGCTGGGTTATACTTGGCCTGGATGTTATCCTTGGAGCTGAGCCAGAAGCCAACTGCTTGTACATGCTCATGTCTTTGACTTCTGTGTTCTCAGTAATATATATATATATATATATATATATATATATATATATATATATATTATATATAAGCTGATGTCGGAACAAAACCTCTTATCTCCAAAATGAATCACGAAGAATGAAAAAACATACTTTACTTTTAATGTGTCAATAGAACCAGAGTTTTTTCCAAGTCATTCTGGGTAATTTCTTTTAATACATTCATCATGAGATTTACACACAATGTAAAGGAAAATAGGCATTTTCAAACGTCAAAAACTGAAAAACGACAAAAATGGAGATGTAAGGTTTTATTCTGAAAGCAGCGTATATATGCATAATGTATGTACTATGCAAACGGCTTAAGTACCAAAGCACATCATTTAAAAGCACTTAACTCAGTTATAAGTGGGATTTCGCTTGTAAAATTGCCATGTAATGTTACAATCATCACAAAAAAAACAAATACAGCACAAAAGATTTTTTTTCAAACAGTTGATATCATTTGAGCTAGTTCGAAGTATGCATATCCGTGTATATTAGACCTCTTGGACAAATAAACCCACAAAGAAGTATAAAAATATATATAAACACAAATAAGCCTTAAAGCCTTCTATTTGTAGTTTCTCTTCAATGCCTACTTTGACTAATCTCTCTAAACTGTAAACCTACAAAGGGCACTTCTATGGTAGGTATTTAGACTAAATAGCCAGTGAGTGTGAGTATCTCATGTGGTGTTTCCATTATTCCATTATTGCCTGATCATTGGAAAAGCATGATTTGTCAAGGTTTATTGTCAAGGCCCATTGGAATCTTGCAGTTGCCCCACGCAACCACATTTATATATGTATAAAATTATATATGAATGAAAAGGTCAATCAATTATTACAAATAATACAAAACAAACACAAGACAAATAAATTACTTAAAAGGGAATGGCTCCATCATCTCTATTTACACACACATTTATACAACTGTATGCATACTCTTAAATATTCAGAAGATCATCACAACTCATTTGAAAATGTTCACCTGGTTCATTAGAACATGCCTGATTCTCAACTACAAAAGCAGGATCTTCCCTTGAGTAAAGAACCAGGCTTATATGATGGGGTGAGAAATCAGACACTCCCGTTTAGTCTTGTGACGGATCTGCTACACAGTGTGATATCAATGTTACAGAAAACTCAGTCTAAATAAGTCTCACTGTCCTGAAGGTTCTTCCTCCCCACTGAGACGTCCTTCATAAATGTTACACAATAGGGGAAGGCTTTTTTTTTCTGTTTTGGGGATCCATCACCAGCCTTTCTTAAAGGAATACGCCAACATTGGTCAACCTGATCTCTGTGTGCCGCTTCTGTACCGCAGACAATAATTACAATTTGTTTCCCTGCACTTAGAAAAGAAGAGAAAATCCAATAGCTTGAAACAAGTTATAATAGACCTCAACAAGGCAGCTGCTTCAAACGGGTAAGAGCTGCAGTGAATGGACAGCCCCTACTACACATGACATTAAACACCTCTCAGGTGACCAGATAAGTAGACATCAGTAATGTAAAGGTGAACAGGGTCCAGTGCATCCCAGAGACGCACTGTGATCCAACTGCTCGGTCCACCTTCGGAGGTGGTCGGTGACGTTTATGACCACATATCAATTATACTGCGAACGCAGAAGATCTGTGTGTTCCTGACAGCAACTATTACAGCTTTACTTTAAGCCGACTACAATCAGACTGTGAACTAGATGCGTTTTCACCAGTTGAGTTCAGACAAATAAATGCAAAAGATGTGCATTTACTGGGTCACATAATGAGTCTTGCAAGAACAACAAAGCTTTTAACGTTTGGTTACTCACTTGCAAAGTAGCGGACATTAATGTTAGCATGTATGCTTGCAGAAAAAGTATTTTTCTCTCACGTTTAAACACTTGAGAGATGCTTGTAAGCTTTGCTCAGCTCTACACATGATTCTAGGTACAAGCTAGTATTAGCTACAAAGTAAAGCGAGCTATGAAGGAGGTAGGCTTGTACTGTAATAGTTCCATATAATGGAAAAAAGACTATTCCATTGTTAACTGCCATTATTTCTGACTATTAATCAGCAAAATCATGTCATGATTGTGACATATTATAGAGATGAAGAGTCATGAAATCTGAGTCACTGGAGACGCATTTTTACCTTGTGGTGGGCAATTTAAATCTAATATTACATACATACATATCACAATATGTATTGTTTTCTGACAAATATTACGCTAGAATGGACAAAAATTGTGCGATATTTAAAAATGCTATTAAAAACTATGAGTACAAATGATTTTAATCACATACTGACCTGCAATAAAACCAATTAATCAGGCCTAATTATGCTCTGTAGTAAAACACAGTTATTTGGAGTTCTAGAAACACAATATCCACAATATGCTTGGTAAAGCATGTTGTGAAGCAATTCATCACAATAATAATAATAATAATAATAATAAACATTCATACTGCCCAGCCCTAGTTATACGTCTTGCTGTCCACTTGTGATCAGATCACTAAAGACGGATATTAACACCGGGTATGAGGCCAACTCTTGCTTCAGATGCTTCAGCAGCTGCCTGTTGTCTTCTAGTATAATCGTGTTTTGAGTTGAACGGGTTTGTGTGTTCTTTTCTAAGTACAGAGAAATAGGCCAAAACTGTCTAGAGCAATAGACCATATGCTACGTGTACATGGTAATGCTTATACTTTCCCCCATGACAAACACTGGAACCCCACTCCTCCTGCCTTTTCATCTCTTTATACAGACTGACCTTGGAAAAGTATGTAGTGACAAAGCTGGCTCTGCAGTCATTACCAACACCATTCAGCAGCTCCACACTGACACGTAAACCTTCCTCTAAAATGCTATAGTATAAAAATAACATTTTAAAGCATGTTGCAGTGGCTTTACCCCAAGAAAATGGAAGATGGGACACAACAGGCAAGTGATAGGGTCAAGTCAGTGACCGTTCATAATCTCATCGCTCGTTGTGGATACAGATGATCTGAAAAAGTTGTCCTCTTTCAGTTTCAAGTGTTCTGGCAAGTCCAGCTTTTTTTTCGCTTCTTCAATGTCACCACGAATTGCTGCTATCAATTCCTCTGGAAAACACAGAACATACAAGTTACAGTGCTGGCTTGGCTGTGAGTCAGTATCTAGTGCATGTGTGCGGCTGTCAACGAAGAAGTGAATGTGAAGGGGGTCACACGTCTTACCAAGTGAATTGAATCCTCTTTCTGGGCGAATGTAGCCCACCATGGCCACACTTAGCGTTTGACCGTAGAAATCCTCTTTAAACTTGTGGATCAGATGTGTTTCCTGTCAGAAATATGAAGGAAAGCAATAAACACACAGTCTAAGCAGAAACTGCACTGAAGTAACAGGTACACAATTAAGAGTAAAACAGACCATCTATAGACCAAAGTCTGAAAACCTCAGTCAAATGACATGTTTTGTTGTTTCTACTAAGTGAAAATTAGCTAACACATCCTCTACAGAGAACACACTGTCAGAAAAAGAGGTTCTGTTCAGGTACATTTTTCATTCATTAAGGTACAAACAGTGTAAATGTTCCCTCAAAGGTACAACAGTGGTTTAAAAGGTCCAATTGTGCACCTTAAATAAGATTTATCAGGTGAAAAGTACATATTTGTTTTAAAACAGAACAATACAATAAAAGCCTGGAGACGAGACGGGGTGTGTGGAGTCAGTACAGCTTAAAAAATATAATTTCAATGATTTCTGGTACAATTATGACTAAAGGTACTGAGATGTACTCTTGAGGGTACCACCCCAGTGACAAGAGGGGCACTGCCCCAGTGACAGTTTAGTACCTTTATTTCTGAGAGTGTATAAAATCTGCTAAAATTTTGCACACGGTACGTTATTTTCTTCCCCCGTAGTATGTTAAGTTCAGCTAAAAAACAATAAATGTGCATTAAAATGTGCTGAAGTGTCTCTGTAGAGGATGTGTTCATTCATTTTCACTTACAGAGATGCCCAAACTTCTGCAAAAGACTGTATAGTCTCAAATTACTACCACCAAAATGAAACCAAAGGAAAATTACTGCAGCACAGGGCTGTTAGAAACTTGCTCATACCCCACTCTCTCAGGCAAAGACAGAATATATATTTTTGTTCATTTTTTTCTATTCCGCCATGCCTGTGGGAAACATGATATATTTTCATACATTTCCAACTCATCTGAACCCTCTGGACACTTAAGCTGTATGTAAAATACTGCACGGTATGTTGCACTCTGGGAATCCCCCAGCAGAGACAGAGGATTTACTCTACCGTAGCCTGCCGGCCTATTAAAGCCCATTGTTTCAACAGTAAAAGTCAAACAAACACTGCCTGTACATTTTATTTAATATTATTTAGCAAGCTGTGTAAAATTAGATTCCTCATCTCTAGTTCTGTCTGTTCTCTTTCCCAGCAACATGATTATCGCCCTTGAATCATCTTCATTGGCTTAATTATCAGCTTACTAACTGAAATGCAGGTGTAACAATATGTAGCTAGCAGTTACAAGCTAACAGAATGTAACCTGCCATGGTGGCACACGGACAAGTGGAGATACTGACCACCGGCGTGAAGAACATTTATTTATTAAGGCCCAATCCCATTTCTTCTTTTTTACCCCTACCCCTTGTTTTCGAGTGTCACTCTAACCCCTTGGAACTGAGTTACAAGGGGTAGTGGTTGAAATTCTTGCCCTATGAAATGGGGCATCAACCCTCAAATTAAAAAAATAACAACAAAAACATCGCTTCATTAACAGCTACTAATGGTGCTCGGCAGGCGACCCGACCCGTCTTCAGTGATAGCAAAGAAGGGAGAAGTTCAGCTCCTCACTGCTGGGCTTTAGTGACATTTAGGGCATCATGTGCTTTCAAAGACAATTATTTATTATTTATATAATAAATAATTATTTATAAGACAATTATTTATTATCACCCACCGCTAATTCTTTGGTGATATGAAGCTGAAGTCAGATATTCACCAGCTTCTTGTTCCAATTTTCCCGTTCCACCTTAAATGTTGCGGCAGTTACATTCTGGTGCTTCAGGCATCAGAACTGCTGGACTATTTAAGGTGGAACGGGAAAGTTAGTTAGCTAGCTACCGAGGCATTAGCATGCTATTAGCGATTTTATGGCTCGCGCAGCCATCTTTGCCGTCTCATAACACTCTGTTTGGAGTGAGCCTCTGAAAAACCTCCGTTTGGAGGGCCATGTAGCCTTGACACTTCGCCCTACCCCTCTATCTCAACATAAATTGGGACACCCTACTCCTAGACGTGAACGCGCAAAACAGAGGGCTAAGGGCTAAGTGGTAGGGACAAGGGGTGAAATGGGATTGGGCCTAAGTCTGGCCACCCCTGCTGTAGTAGAACCATAATCTATTCATTCATACTAGTGGCATTCTTCTTTTCACTCTGTTAATTTCTTTTATCACTGCTACGACTTAATCTAGTACAAACATTATAAACAGCGTCCACTTCAGTCACAGACTGAGGACTCACCATTGATTTCTTTGTATTTTTGTAGTACGGGTTCCAGCCGATGCTCATCACCATCTTGTGGATTTCTCCACTGTCCACTCGTGCCCAGCCATAGTAGATGCCTGTGCTGATGTCAGCAGGGAGATTGTCCACTACAGACATTGGGAAGTTTGCTGTGGCAGATATGAATAAGGTTACAAAGGTTACAAAACATATAGTTAGTCACTTTAAAACTCATTCAAGCTTCCACAGGGCCTTTATTTTGTACTAAAAAAGCTGGCCATTCTTTACAATGAGTCAGGACTTGCCTGACCATCAGTGCACAATAGCTTGGCTCCCTTATCAACTATCAGCCTTAACCTATGACCTGCTTATAGGCTTAACTTTTCAGAGCAACTGTGGGCTTTGAACTGAACATGATTGAATTAACATGGTCAACACTGAAACTGGCTGACTTTGTCAACCCTAAATCAATCTTAAAATTGGAATGTGCATAAATTTATCGCCGCCATTAATGCTAAATTAAGCAAAATGCATGAAAAAGAACATTTAAAACAAAACACACAGAATTCTAACACGTCAATTACTGTTAAATTGAAGTAATTATTCAAATCAATGGAAAATAAAGTATTTCATTGGCTGATTTTCGGTTGGGTTACTAGTTAAACATCAACTGTAACACAGTGAATCTTTATTGTTGAAACCCTGATTGGCTTGCCGAGCTGATTTAAGCAACATTAACTGAACATGAAGTCCATCTGGTTATGGTTGGAAACAGTGAATTTTTTGACTAGCAAGTTACCATTACTATTAGTGCAAACAATCCTTTACCATATTTCTCAAGATGAATGCTCTGTTAAACAAGGCAACAGACACATATTTTCATCAAGACTGGCCAAAGACACATTTAATAAGCCTTAAGATAAAGTTAGTTAGCCTATTTACGCACATACAGAGAAGCCGAGTTAACATATATAATTTAAGTATTGTGGAGGCACTGGGTGATATGTTGTCTATCCACTCGCATGAGCGCAACACAATGAGTGCGGATACAAGGTGGTTTTAATGAAGTGGCTCAGTGTACATTCAGACAAAATGTGCTCAATACAGCGTTTTATCAAGGTACTGTCTGAGATGTCTTTCCTAGTCACATTTGGATATACTGAAGCAACTCTGGTCATATGCTAGAACACACATTCCCAATGTGCTCCTTCCTAGACTTCTGTGACAAAGACCAAAGTCTTTAGTTCGTTATATATAAATTAAACCATCGCCATCACTCGGTGTTTGGCTTTGGGTCCTGTTGTGCTGCTTGCTGTGAAGGACAATTAAAGATTAACTGATAGTAATACACAGACACAACTGAAATCGCTAGCGTAATGTGTTGCGTCCACCTCCCGCGTTCGCATGAAGGGGTGTCAGGCTCTGCCAGGGGGGGTCGGCGCCACTGAACTGTAACTGATCTGGCGTGCAACAACACCCCCCGTTAAATGGCTGGAGTCCAGTACGGGCTTCATAGTGTGATCTTTTGCAGAAAATTGGAATGTCTATGGCACACACACACACACACACACACACAATATATATATATATACACACACACACATAGATAGATATTGATATATTGAGACCTTATTCACAATAACAGAGTATAAAATAAAAATGAGAAAACCAGGCATTAAACAGCACCAATAAGAAACTTAAGTAAATGATGATGATTAAATAAAATAATAAATCAAATTGATAAAGTACAGTAAGTAAAACAGAATTTTTCAAATGTTGTAAAAACAACCGGCACCTGCAACATAATTAAATCATTCGAGTGGTTTCTTTAAGGGCCTGCATTAAAAGACAACAACAAAGTCATATATGAAAATAAAAGAGGCCTTATAAATAAATAAAATCCAGTGTCTATCATGCCTTATGGAGAGAGAGGGCCACCTATCCTTAACATACAGCTAACAATGATGAGTATTAGAATTGTCGCAGGTAATAAATCTTACTGTAACTTACACTGTGACTCTTAATATTTGTATCACTTTTAAAAGAGATGTTGAACTTATAGTCAATATTTCTGGCTCTAAAAAATAACACAAATTTAGTTTTATCTGCATTAAGAACCAATTTATGATCTTTGAGTGCAACTTGTAAGTCATCAAAAGCAGTGCTGAAGGACATTAACAGCAGAATGTACAGTATCTGCAGAACAGTGCAGGACTGTCATCAGCATAAACATGTACATTACATCCAGTTACAGAAGGAACAATGTTGTCAATGTAAATTGTAAATAAAACAGGCCCCAAAACTGAGCCTTGTGGGACACCGTTAGTAATCTGCACAAATTTGGTCACACAGTGCTGTCTGTACATGAGGTAACTCTCAAACCATTTATAGGTGATGTGATCAAGTCCACTGCTAAGAAGCCTTTTTAAAAGTGCTGAGTGATCCACTGTATTGAATGATTTTAAAAGATAAAAAAAGGGCTGCACAATGCCTCTTTATCTAAAGCTGATTTGAAACCAGATTGACTTATGCTAAGAATAGCATGCGCTGAGATGAATGATTATAGCTGATTATTTACTAGAGATTCTAGTGTTTAACCAAGCTTGGTAATTTGGGATAGGCCTATAATTGTTGAGGTCAGATGATCCACACCCTTTACATAGAGGGGTTACATAAGCAGCCTTCCAGACCTAAGAAACTATCCTGGCTAAAACTAAAAGAATAAAAATACACTTTAGGTAGCCGACTACCATTGGAGTAGCACACTTTAAAAGACAGGGATCAACTTTATCCTCACCATCATCCGATTTCACTAAATTTAAAGCTAGTAATGCATTAACCACGTCACTACAGGAGAACAACTGAGTGAAGCGAGGCTTCAGCATTACCTGGACATGTGGATCAGTAATGGACAAAGTGGGGCCTGCATGAACTTCAGAAAATAAGTTGCCAGCTGATGCAAAGTGATTATTAAAAGCTACACAAATCTCATTCAGATCTCATGTTGAACACCCACTGGCAGTACCAAGAGGAGGGACTGAGAAGGAAGACTGTGTTCCAGAATTTTGCTGGGTTTAAATGTGATTTTGGAATTAAAAACAGATACTGTTTAGATTTAGCCTTTCTTATCACAGATGTGCATTTGTTTTTAAGCTGCCTAAAAGCAAACCAATGACCAGGATCACCAGACTGTCTGGCAAGAGACTTTATTTCTCGCTTTAAGCGATGCTGACAGTTTAGCTGTGAACCAGGGACTCAATGTATTTTGTGTGTGATATTTTTAAAGTTGTGCACTTTTAGATTAAAGGCTTTACAAAAATGGCCAAGAGCTAATCCAACATCAGGGACTTCAGCAGTATATTAAATTTCATTATTAGCAGATCATGCAAAAAAAAAAATCTTTACTTGGAGATGTGTGGTTATGTGTGTTAAAATGTTGGAAGTGTTGTCATTTTTATTTTTAATGGCCTTTAATAATTTGATCCATTATCATTTAAATCTTAAAATAGCTATGATTTTAACGATGTTAATTCCTTTTCTGCTCCTGTAACCATGAAAAGTGTTTTTTTTTATCGTTTTTCTATTCGAGATCTAATTTGTAGTCTTTTCTTTTTACTTTTCAGAGTACATCAGATAAATGAATGGGTGCTAAACTACACAACATTGCGTTTTACAGTATTGAGGTTTAAGAGAGAACTTTGGAAAAACATCACGGATTAAACTTCTGAAAGACTGTACAGTATCTTACTGAGACAAATATTATTCCAGACAGGAATGGGGGGTATTTCACAAAACAGGATTTCTCATTTAGCCAGATAACGTAAGCCCGAAGTTCAGGACTGTCCAATAGGAATGTTCCTTCACTCTTCTCCAACTGGACAGGCCTAACTTTAGGCTTAAGTTATAAGGCTAAACTGAGAAATCCTGCTTTGTGAAATACCCCCTGCTCCCCCTGCTGCTCTGCATGGTTTGGTTTTCTCTACTTTTACACATCTGAGCTATACTGTTAGCTAATAATCTCTCCTTTCTTGAGCTAAAAGGTGTGCGGAGCAGATGAAAACACAAGAACATACAGTGCAGAAGGTCAGCTACAGGGCAAAGTGTCAAAGCCAGTCCAGTGTACATCTCGCTTCAAAAGGTCGCCATAAGGACAGAACATGCATAACCAAGCTGTGTACATCCCATGAAAATAAAACTATTCTTATATAAAATTATTTTTATTACAATTTGCAATACTGCCCATACTTGCCACTGTTCTGCTGTGTACTGGTGTTCTGACGAATTGTGCTACCTTGTCCAAATGTCCTACTGCCTATTTCTAAGGAAGCGCGCAACATAAAACTGTAGGTGGGGTATTTTGATGGCCTAAATTGAAGCTGAGTCTGTACTGAATTAACATGAAAAACACAAGAAAACGTTTGAAACATGACGTCACTCCGCTAGAATAATGATGTGCGCATGCTCAGTAGGACAACGCGATGGGTAGGACAAACTGTCAGAACACCGGCACGCGGGCCGCTGTCCAGTACTTCCGTTATGAGTGTGACGGAACAGCAACATCTCAGCTACAGCTCCTGCTGGGTTTACAGGACTGGTGTCTGAAATGATAGTCGAATGACCAAAGCCACACGGACCCCTGTGGGGTCACTTTAAGAGATGAAATCGGAACAAAACACCAGAGTGACGGTAGCGGGGCTGATGAACCGCGGGGTCACTGGCTGAGTTCTCCAATGCTCACTGAACTGTAACCTGATGTCTGTCGTGATATTTAATTTGACCAGAACCCTCCAGAGCTACACCGCGGCCACTGTGCCTGATTTAGCCCGCTCAGCCTCTTACCTGTAGGGATTCCCAGCTCCTTGCTCCCCCTTCCAAATCCTCGCACCACCGGTCCTCGGCAGAAATACGGCAGGCCATTCATGTCCACTGTTAGCGCTGCTGCTACACCGACGACCAGCGATGACCCAAAGCGAAAGTAGCCGTAGCTCCCTTACAGCAGCGCAACGCTGAGTAACTCCTGCTGGACACATGGAGAAAATGTCACGCAGGGATCGCGGAGATGACCCTGAAGATCCTTCTAGAACTCGGAGCGCGGTGTGAAGTCAGTAGACGCTACAGGACAAAACACCTGGATGAAATAAACGAACGGACTCTGACTCACCTGTGAAGACTCGAGAGAGGGTCTGTAGGTGGTCTTGAATGGTTTAAAGCAGTGCTGGGTCTGCTGAGTCTCCGGAAACTCGGACAGAAGCGCTCAGACGGAGGCGGCGCGGCGGTTTTAGGGAGGGCGTCCTTCGCCTGCGTCGTTCCTCTTTTGGCACGTTCAAAATAAAAGCCCGACGCAAACTCCCAAACGTGTTGTATAAATTAATTACTTCATAATAAAAGCATAAAAATAAAAGTATTCTCATCGTGCTGAACGAATTAGAAAATAAAAACTACAAGAAAAAAAAGCATATATATATATATATATATATATATATATATATATATATATATATATATATATATATATACGGCACATTCTCCATCAGCCTGAAAAACCCTTTAATGTAAACAACCTATTCATACAAAAGGTTCTTTGAGTGTTCATGGTTCTATATAGAGCCACTTTTTTACTGAAGAACCATTGAAGAACCGTCTTTTTTAGGTGTGTACATAGTGCATACCTATATATATGAGTTATGAGATTTGGACTTCTACACGAAAATAGTGTAGTATTAATCTAGTATATACCTTGTAGGGAGATTGTGCACATGTGGCTGAATTTCAAATGGCTCTTTTTTAGACATATTATGCCCTGTTTGGGTGTCAGAGTCATTATTTTTTAAGTGCACTACATAGGAGTAGGCCTTATATAGCGTCCTTTGCTTTACTGTTCTCTGGCAGTTTTATTAGCACTGTCGCTGCACCAGCAGTTGTATTAGTGACCTGCACTTCACCAGCACTGCACCAGCAGATGTATTAGTGATCATTATTTCACTGGCACTGCCTTGGCAATTTTTATACCGACTGGTACTTCACCGGCACTTAACCAGCAGTTTTATTAGTGACCTGCACTTCACCAGCTCTGCACTCGCAGTTTTGTTAGTGACTGTCACTTCACTGGCACTGCACTGGTAAGTTTATTAGCAACCAGCACTTCACCGTCACTGCCCTGGCAGTTTAATTAGCAAGTATCACTTCACTGGCACTGCAACAGCAGTTTTATTAGTGACCTGCACTTCACCAGCGCTGCACTGGCAGTTTTATTAGGGACCATCACTTCATTGGCACTGCACTGGCAGTTTTATTAGGGACCATCACTTCATTGGCACTGCACTGGCAGTTTTTTAAGCCACCGGCTCTTCACCGTTACAGTCCTGGCTGTTTTGTTAACGTCCGTCACTTCACCGACACTGCACTGGCAGTTTACTTAACAACCGTCACTTCACTGGTACTGCAACGGCAGTTTTATTAGTGACTCCTTTCACCGGCATTTTACTGGCAGTTTAATTAACGACCGTCACTTCATCAGCACTGTACTAGCACTTTCAGTGTAGGGTCTAATGGCTCCAGCGAGCATCCGTATGTGCCACCGCTACCTAAAACGAGCCTCCAGTGCTGAAGGTGAGCTAAATTGACACTTCGCAGCTGCTACTCAGTGTGTCTGGACCTACTCAAACCCTCCACAGCTACTGTTTGTGATGATAGACTTTTGAGATTTTAGGCACCATAGGAGGTAAGAGGTCTCCTCTGTTTCTAAACACGTATAGAGAGTTGTTAAAAGAAAAGGTGTTGCAACACAGTGGTAATCATGCACCTGTCCCAGGTTTTTTTAAAACGTGTTACTGGCATCAAATTCAAAAAAGTTTCAACATTGATAATTTGTCATCTATCTATTTACATATGTGTGTGTTTGTATATATGCCATGTATGCAATGTATGTATATATATATATATATATATATATATATATATATATATATATATATATACAGATGTCTGGTTCCTATCACCACCACTGTGAATAAATTTGACTCAGTGGGGTTTTGCTTTGTCATTAGCATGGCAGCAGTTCAGCCCCAGTTTAACACAGGTTAATCCAGGAACTTTAGAGGTTTAACATGTGGCGGATGGATAGTAAAATTACATAATGATCAGCCCAACTAAAACAAATCACTGCATAATTAGGATATATTTTGCTATATAAAAGCTTTCAATATATATATATATATATATATATATATATATATATATATATATATATATATATATATTTATACACATGCACAATATATTAACCAATTTATTTTGAAAGCTTTTATATAGCAAAATATATCCTAATTATGCAGTGATTTGTTTTAGTTGGGCTGATCATTATGTAATTTTACTATCCATCCGCCACATGTTAAACCTCTAAAGTTCCTGGATTAACCTGTGTTAAACTGGGGCTGAACTGCTGCCATGCTAATGACAAAGCAAAACCCCACTGAGTCAAATTTATTCACAGTGGTGGTGATAGGAACCAGACATCTGAAGAGCTTAATACCTCCAAAAGCTCCCTCACAGAAAGTTGTGTCATGTAATGATTATGAATGTGCTGCCAGATGTCTTATTTTACAATAGCTTTGTGATAAGGTTTTGGCCTAAAACATATTTTAATATATTTATTTTTCATCAGCTCATGGCGGAGGGGTACATGCAGGGTGTTGTGAGGTAAAACAGTCCCCAAAGAAACTTCTTTTTTTAGATTTACCACTATTTTACCATCATCGACATTACATATAAAACTCAGAAGGCACGTGTGAGTTCACTGGTGTTTTTGGATAGTAAATAAAATGGCAATGTTTGTGTTATAGACATGGCGACCCCCGGTTCCTATCACCACCACTGTAAAGAAATCTGAGTCTGTAAGTTTTGCTACAATGAACCATTTCACATCATCCCACTCTGAATCACTGTTCACATATTAAGGACTGAATTGTTCAGAAAATTTGAACAATTGTTGCCGTTCCCCTTTAATGTGAAAGGCTGGTTAAATGACCAGTAGAGGACGCCATTGTACTAATAAAGAAAAGCACTGACATCAGGAACTTCAGCACTTCAGCACACTGTGATAATAGTCAGAGTCTAGAGAGTTTGTCTTCTGCCCTAATTTTACTGGTTTCCACTCCGAAAACTGGAAAGCATGTCTCTTTTTCCTCATCTAGTAATAAATTGATCTTTAGGCCACATGTAAATGTATGACAGTGAAGCATCAACCTGTCATTCTATGCAAAAATCCTAAGCCTCTGGATAAACCTGTTCTGGCAGATACAGGTTGTATAGGGAGTGGCTTTGACAACAGGAATACGTCTGAATACACAACAGCTGTTTTTTTGGCCCAATTTCATTTATTTCCATTTTATGGCTAACTTTAAATACTATTGTTTGGTTCTTCAAGGGCTCTTTAGTAAAGACAATGGTTCTGTATAGAACCCTGAACACGGTTAAAGCATGCTTAAAGGGTTCTTTGCATAGTGAAATGGTTCTTCAGATTGATGGAGAATGTGTTATAAATGGTTCTTTTCAAATCTTTAAAAAAAAGATTCTGCTATTGTTACGATGTCAAGGATGTCACAATAGAAGAACCCTCTCTGGTTTTACTTATTTGGGATTTGTTCATAGGTAAGAACAGAATCCACACACACTCAAGAGCACAAGGGTGCGAACCATTCTGCGGTTTAAGAACACGTCCTGAATCTGACATAGACTTTTTCTTTAGAACAAAACTAAGAAAAAACAGAGGAATATATTTGTGAATGAGGCCCATTGTCTTACCTAAAGAATCCCATAAGAACCATCTTTTTTAAAGTGTAGGAACCAATTAGTCTTTCAAAACTGCTGTAAATAACAAGCGCTGTACTGTTCTTTTGAAGAGGAAGCAAATGAGCTTCCAAGGAGGCAACGGCAATGAAAGTCAAAATTTGCCTTGTGACACAACATAAACAGTGTACCATTCAGCCTGATGTGCTTTGCATAGATGGTGGTTCAGAGTGAGAGCTGAAAGGCTGTAAAAGCTTTGGAAAATGCTGCAAATAATTCATTCTTTTGGGGGTGACATTACCTACATCAGTGGCTTTCGAAGGCTTGGCCCTACCCTCATTCCACAGAGAACCAGGAAGGCTCTGCCCTTCTTGCCTTTCATGAAAAAAAAAAAGCAGAGTGACAGGAGAATTATCGTCAAAAAGAATCCAGTCAACCAAAGGAAGTACACACTCAGGGAAACGATTCACGATTAAAGGAGGAAGCTTTCAACCGTGGTACGTACACTGTTAGAGCTTGGTTGATTTTGTGGTATTTTGCTCTAAATTTCTATTTGACCTAACTTTTAGAGTGAAGCATGATGTGAAGACTAGATCTGCTAGAAGAATATACATTATTTGCTGTACAATGTAACCTGTAGGCTGTCTGAATGTCAGGAATGTAAGGTTTGAAATCAGAACTAGACAAAATATAGCCTAGTAGTCAAAACTGTTTTTCCAATTAGTCTGCCACAGGACCTATCTCACTTATATGGCATGTTTTCATAACCCACCATTCAAACCTTTGGAACAACTTGTTTTATTAATACTTGTTGGTCAATAATAACTCATACAGTACAGATAATAATAATAATAATAATAATAATAATAATAATAATAGACACTAAAACGTAAACCAAAAATGTAAAGTTTTTTGGAAACACAAAAGTTGTGACAAGAAAACATTGTAAACTGTTAAGGAATAAACTCTAATTATCTATTTATATTAAATTCCTCTCACAAAATTACTATGATCAGCCAGCCTTGGCTACCACTGATAAAATACGAGGCATAACTGAACATTAATTATTGCAACACAGTGACCATTCAATGTTATACAGCTTTCTCAGCGCTTATGGACTCATCTACAGCTCTTTTCTTCAAAGAAAACTCCTTAATTTGTATAGCTTTCTACTAAATTGAAACCTAGAGAATATTAGCATCAGATTGGAATTATTTCATACATGTATCCACAGCAAAGGTGCTTTTATATTATTAATAAATGATGAAATGTTGTATCAAAAATGTGTTTTATACTAGATCACAAATATATTGATACCAGACCTAAGCATACAACAAGGAAGGCACCAACTGCTAAGTAGGTGGGTTAACCAATTCATTTACATAAGGAAGTGGTTGGCATGAATGCATGCCTTTTTAAAATGCCACAAACATTATTGAACTATTATTTAAATGAGCTTTCTCACAGTAACAGAATGGATTCTAGAGTTGAGAGAGTAGAGAACTTTCACAGAGGGAGATGCTGATGGGCCAGCTTCGTGTGTGGCTGTTCTGAATCATTGACAACATTTGTTTCAATTTAAAATCTTTACAACGAAAGTATCGCACCATTATTGAACAGTGAACAATAAATGTGGCCTTTAAGCATGAAATAGCTAACAATGATGAACTCATCAAATGAATGTGCCACAGGAGTACATATGCATGCCTTTTACTTTCATGCAGTCTGTGGCTTTTGCACTGATTGCCAACCAAGGATGACTTGTGCAGTGTGAGCAGTCACACTGGTTATGCAGGTTAGGTGATTCCAAACCAGGTAAACGTGTATTATAGTCTCACAGACTTACGTAAGTCCAGGGAGACCATGAGTTGGTTTTTGTCTGGACTGTTTTCTTGACATCATGGGATTTCATGTTAACAAGTTTCATGCCGCTGGCAGCTCAAAGTGCTTTCCAGATAGGTGATAACACTTAATACACTTTGTAATATTTGAGAAAAATATGAGGAATAATTTAAAGCCATATAAGAAAATGACACAGATCAAATGAAAAAGATGAATACCAAGAGATATAGTTTTAATTAATTCCAGAGTAGTTGGATTTTATCTTGTTCCTCTTTTCATGAGGCTGAGGCTCTTATTTGCCAGCTGCTCATTCGCCTTTTCTGTACCACCATTAATGAGGCACCTGTTAACTTAAGCCTTGGACACTTTGGCCCAGTCCCATTTCTTATCTTCACCCCTACCCTTTGTTTTCGAGTTACAAGAAGTAGTGGTTGAAATCTTCCCCTATAAAATAGGGCAAACCTCAAATAAAAAGAACATTACTTCATTTACAGGCTGCTAGCGCTGCTCTGTAGGCAATCATGCCAGTCTGCAGTGATAGCAGAAGAAGGTAAAGTTCAGCAACCTCACTGCTGGGCTTTAGTTACATTTAGGAAGGGTTGCCAACCGTCCTTTAACCCTCTACTGCATGCGTTATGAGAGCCATTAAAAAAAATATTTGATTTACTTTTCTTGCATAAAATGGACCTGATTATTAAATATCAAAACATTTTTTAAAATAACGTGTGCAGGGGTAATTTCTGGGGTTTGTTACCTTGAGGCAACATTGTGCCACAATGAGAAGAAATATTATAGAGCCGTGTTCCCTGAAGTGCCTTATGGCTGATCAAATCCATCCACTGTTGGACAATGTTACTTCTAGGCCACAAACATATTTCTGCAAATTCTCATAACAAAAAAAAATGATACTGAATGTTGAAAATTAGGTTTAAAAGTGCTCACTACGAGATAGTATGACCAAGAACATTCTTTTTATTGACATACTCAAACTGTTCTCTTTATTGTTAACCCTTTTATTGTCTTTAAAAATGGATAATGATATTGTAAAGTGAGGAAAATGAGTTTTTGTGCAATAGAGGGTTAATTGCAAACTAAAAGACGTGTTCCTGAGATGGACGGATATGGGACGCGCTTTGTTCTTTAATTTTGAGAATCAATACAGTGCAAATCTGTGGGAGAGAAATATTACGGGTTAGACTATTAAGACAGGACGGTTTGTATAAAACAGAAGGAAACTCTGCTGTTCTCCCTCAGCCTGTCATGTTATCTTCCCCAAACAGAATGTGACTCATGTCCAGTGCTACGCGCTGACAGTGTTGCTACGATACGCCTGACACCAGCACGAGATTTAAAAAATAGCAACCTCTGGGCGGAACTCAGACCAACTATAAACTATTTAAGGTGGAACGGAAATAGACCACTGTAGTCGTGTCGTCATTGTGTAGTCGGCGCCATGTTCTTATGCCCATATTAGGAACTCCAGGTCCAAGCTCCATTTCTCTAAGGCCAGAATGAATAGGGTTTTTGAAAAATCGCGTCTATCGCCCCCTGTGTTAAGTAAAAATGTTCAGAACCCGATATGTTTTGTCCTGTGAACATTCTTCTCTCGAATTTTACTGGATCCTCCGAATTACGAGGTCAAATATGAATATTGCCACATGTGAGCTAAAGCTACTGCGCACTGAATTCACGTCATTTGACTGGCAGCCTCCTTAAGCAGGCTTTGTCAGTGTACAGTTCCATGTTCAGACTGAGGGCAGATGAAAAGAAGTCAGAACAAAATCAGCTGGTTTCCCTGCAGTTCTCTGTTCTTCATCAGATGCTCACTGAAACACGATAGATCTCTCCTTTTAGCTTGATTTGAAAAGCTCTACAAACGTACCTGCACTCAGGCTAATCCAGTACAGACTCAGTTTAATATTAACTTACTGCTCACCCCTGATCAGCTGATTTCGGCTATCAGAATATCCTAATCATTACTTCACTGCTGATAACATTTGCCCAGCACATTAACTAGGTTTTTGTTCGACCTTTCCTTTTGGTACAGTAGTCATGTTCTGAACTGCTGCGCCATTTAAGGCGGAACGGGAAAAAGAGACTTCACCTTCATGGAGGGTTGAAAGGCCTGATATGAGGAGGTTTCTCTATTTCCACTTAACAGCTGAGTAATGTTAACTTATTTTTGCTGTTTCACAGAACCGACAGGTCAGTATTTTGTCTCGTTTGCTAATGTTTATGATCCATTTAAGGTGGAACGGGAACATTCAAACAATAAGCTGCAAAAAAAGAAGCTTATTTCAGCCTTTAACACGGGTAGTATTTTTTTTAAGGAGTTTTAGCCCATCAACCTATCCTACCTAGGGGTCTTATTTACGGGTATACCTGTAATTATGCACTACAGCACAAGATTTAGATAAGATGGCACAATTCGTCAGAGCACCCGCCTTAGTTTCGTGAAGCTTAGTGACATCAAATTGATGCGCAGTAGTTTTAGCTCACATGTAGCCCTATTAGTGTTAAGGCTCTTTAACAACCTTGTAATTCAGAGGATTCAGTGGTATTCAGGAGAAAAATATACACAGGACAAAACGTATCGGGTTCTGAACGTTTTTATTTAACACAGGGGGCGATAGAGGCGATATTTCGAAAACCCTATTTATTCTGGGCACAGAGAAATGAAGCTTAGACCCGGAGTGCACGACTACAGTGGTCTATTCCAGTAGAAAGCAAACATCAGCCCAGAGAGATTATGGAATAGCGCGCGATGACATGGTGCTGCTAACATAGAAGACAGACAGTGATCTAACTGATTTTAATAACTTAGTTTTCTTCTGTTTTTGTAATATTCATACGTGAATTATGTGAAGATGAACACCACGTTAGCGGTAAGAACCGCTGAGAACCAAGGAATGATAAAGCTAGTTAAGGAGGAGGAGATTTCTGAGCAGGTGGGCGGTGAGAAATGTTGACAGGATGTAAATTTAAGTTACTCAGCTAACGTTAGCATCATTTGTAGCATACTGACTGTCATGGCTGTGTCACATTAAAGACAGAAGTTTTCATTTTATCACTATCCAGCCACCTTGTTTATCTCAGTACAGCATATAAACAGTAAATAAGAGATAAGAATAAGAAAAGGAAAAGTTGAAAATGCACAGATTTTAGAAAAAAAGTGATGTTGCATAAAGGCAATGCCACGGAGCCCCAGGGGGGACGGAGGTAATTAATTCGAGTGAACGTTTTGCAGTTCGTACGCACGTTTTCTTTTTTTCGTGGTCACGATTTCTTAAATCGATCCCTCGTTTTCTTTTAAACGTGCGCACATTTTCTTTACTTCGTGGATACGTTTTTGTTTATCCGTGATCTAATTTGTTCTCTCGTTTTAATTGTTGTCATGTTTCATTTTTAACTTAATGCATGTTGTTTATTTTTTATTTGTGCGCAAAATCAATGTAGTAGATACAGATTATGTTATTTGTCCGGTGCAGAAGTAACTAACAGCTCCCTAAACCGGTCTGACGGGTTTTGATGTGTTAGATTGATGAGATAATGGACAGAGTCTCTAACATCGCAATTTGACGTGGGAGCATAAACACCATGGGCCGTTTGCTGTGAAGAGGAGCTGCAGTTTCCTCATAACCCTCCCAAATCAGAATCAGACCTGATGAGCATCTCTGTTCATCATCTAATCAGTCTAACACATCAAAACCGGTCAGACGGTCTCAGGGAGCTGTTATCAAAACACAAAACAACATGTATTCAGTTAAAAAGAATACATGACCACGGTTAAGAGAAAACGAGAGAAAGAATTAGAAAACCGTGATCACGAATGAAAAAAAAATGTACCCACGAAGTAAAGAAAATGAGGGAACAGTTTAAGAAATCGTGGCCACGAATAAGAGAAAACGTGCATATGAACTGCAAAACGTTCGCTCAAATTAATTATTTAATGTACAATGTACAATACTGTGTGTGTAGCAGGAGAAATACAGTTAAGAGTTTAAGGTGGGCTGGTCTGCTCATATAACTCCCGGTCTGAAAACAAGTCCCACTCCAGCCTGAGGGTGTGTATAATAATCATACAGGTTTTTAAACCCAAATGTGGTTGATAGATACCAGTGTTGGGGAAGCTACAAAGCTACAAAGCTCTGCAAGTTGCCAGTTACTTCACACTGGACAAAGAACTACATCTTCGCTACCGTAGAGAGAAATCTACCATGGTTAACTAAAGCTAAAACTTAAAGTAGCTTTAATAGTACTACTAACTACTTCGTGAAAAAAAAAATCAAATTGACAGCCTAATGTGGTATGAAATTATAACAAAATACATGCCAGCAAAAAATGCCACACAATTGAGTTTATAGCAAAAAGTGCCTACTTGATCACAGGTCATACATAAACCAAAAAAATACCCCACTACTCTTTGGAAAATGCAAGGAAGGTCTACTTTTTATGGCCCAAAACTGTTTGTAGTTTCAGTAGTTAACTACATAAAACATGGAAATAAAAGTAATTTTAGTACTTGATTTACTAAGCAAATAGGAATGTAGTTAAACTACCAGCTACTGCAAAATGTAGTTAAACTTATAGTTTAATTAGATGCAGTTCACTCCTCCCCAACACTGATAGATACACTGTGATTATTTTTACCATACAAGTGAAACTGAATCATATTTATGATTCATATGGGCCTATGACTTTTCTTCTTAAAGTCCTAACAGATTATAAAAAGACCAGGTATCTCACACTGTCTGAGTTATATTTGCAGACTTTTTTGGATGACTGGGGTGTGGTTTGTGTTGGAGGGTTGGTCACCACAGGATGGAAGCCGACAGCTGGTGGTGGACCTACCCCATGAGTTCAGTGCTTTGCATATGCTTTTCTGCCTGAATTATGAATTATTTAATAAAGCAGCACAGAATCATGGCCTCTCCTGTGTCTCACTTTGCACTGTTGCCACAATATAGAACCTTTTTAAAAATGGTTCTATGTAGCTCCACAATGGATTCTTCTGTTACAAGCTTGACATCATAACAATAAAAGAACACTTTTTGGTGCTGTATAGAACCATTTTCAAAAAGGCTCTGTATAGAACCATATACGACACATTCTCCATCAGTCTGAGGAAGCTTTTCATCATGCAAAGAACCGTCCATCCATCCATCCATCATCTAAACCGCTTATCCTTCTGGGTCGCGGTGGGGTGCTGGAGCCTATCCCAGCTGTCATTGGGCGGAAGGCAAGATACACCCTGGACAGGTCGCCAGTCCATCACAGATGCAAAGAACCATTTAAGCATAAAATGGTTCCGTCTAGACATCACAGTTCTAAATAGAACCATTGCCATTACTAAAGAACCCTTAAAAAAACATCTTTTTTTTTAAAATTGTTGCTGAACCAAACTGATCTTGCATGATCACAAACGTTCTTCCATTCCTAGGAGTCGCAGATAAACAAACATGAAGCAGCTGCTGCTGCTGGTTTTTTGCCGTTTGCACTGTTGTCCACACCAGACACAGTGGTGAAGGTGTGAAAGTGCTCTGAGAAACATCTCCATCTCTGCATCGCCAACTGTCTGTATCACAATATGGTGCTATAGAATGTAGCTTTAGCACCATTTAAGGTGGAACTGAAAATTTGAATAAGAATCTGGCGAATAGGGGGCTTCATCCTTTCTTTCCACAACATTCTATGGAAAATACAGTATATTTTTGTCTTTTGTACTGTTTCTAATCATTGTTTATTGCAGTCCTAATCATGAAGCACATGCGAAGCATAAACATGTATCAAAATAATCAAGCTAGTTAGCCAGACAGCTAACGTTAGCTACCATTACTGATGTAAAAAAAAAGGTCAAACAAAACTAAAGCACAATAAACCTGAAGTTAAGAATATTGTCAGAAAACTTGCAGAGAGGAGAATTACCACACTGTAATAAATGCTTAAACATTTTCAATATAAAAGAATACGTTCACTCCCTTAACACTGAATAGCATAAAACATTTTAACACTGCTGTTATATTTTTGAGAGCCAACCAATCAGCACTCAGTAGCAGTAATGTTAGCTTCCTGCTGCCCAAAACCCGTTTGCTGTAGAGAAAAGGAAATATATAGATAAGTTTTCTTTGCTTTTTTAGTGAAAAACATCCTTCTACCTTCTAAAATAAAAGAAAAGTTCTGGGCAGTGGCCCTAGGAAGTGGCCAGGCTCCTCATAAACTGGCACTGATATTGTGACAGAGCTTCATGCTGTTTATCAGAGCGTCGCCAAACAGACACATGTTCAGCTCTGTCTCCTGATAATTCACCAACATCACTGTAATATTTTATCTGACAAGTTTTCTTCAACATTAACACACGAAGGTACTAAGAGGGGACAGTGGAGATCATGTCTGCAGCATCTGGGGTTTTTTTTATAACGCACACAAGCCAAAGCACTGTTTTCAATATAGAAAAATGTAGCATCATTATGCTAGTTATAGTTATAGACTGTGCTGCCTGTCACTGCATAAAACAATAGAAACAGACAGTTGAAACAGAAGTTAAGACACCTCTGGGGTTGTCTTAGAGTTAGGGCAGAATTTAGGAAGATTGTCTAGTTAGGATGTTTCTGTAATACTGTTTTCTTATCTGGAGTTCGGATAAGATAATGAACCTAAGTACTGTTGTTCTGTAATAGCGTCTGTCCTAGTTGTCATGGTAACTAAGCAGAAAAGATTTCAGACTTAAGAAGTTTCTGTAATACAGCCCCAGACAGACTAAGATAAGAAACAGTTTGACTCTGCATTTGTTGAGAATATAACTTTCTAACATTAAATGTATCCATTCCAGGTTTCAGGACCGGCTACACTCTGAAGAGTGAAATTTGAAACACACAGATCTCCTGATGGGCTTCAGAAAGAAAAGATTCCGCAGGTTAATGTTAGCTGGAGTTCTGCTGTGCGTGTTCATACTAATGCTCTCAGTGGTTGTATATCAAGAGAAACAGATAGACTACAGTTGGCTAGAGTTTGGGGATGACGAAACTTCATTAGACAACTGCGACTGCAAGAAAATCATAGAGGGTGACATTGAAGAGATTGAACGTGCCAAGATTCGAGCTATCACAAGGACCTTCAAGAACAAAACAAGGGTTACCGATGAGCAGTACATAGAGCTGACAAAAGACTGCGAGATTTTCCGTACGACCCACAAGTACCTTCCGGTCGTGTTAAATGAAGAGGAAGAGGCCTTCCCACTGGCGTATTCCATTGTTGTCCATCACAAGGTGCAGAATCTCGAGTGGCTCTTGCGCTCCATTTACGCTCCTCAGAACTTTTATTGCATCCATGTGGACAAAAAGAGCCCAGAGTCCACTGTAAAAGCAATTAATGCCATTGCCTCATGCTTTGATAACGTTTTCATAGCCACTCAGCTGGAAGAGGTGGTCTACGCTAGCTGGAGTCGCGTCCAAGCTGACCTCAACTGCATGAAGGACCTTTACCGGATCAGTGATCGTTGGAAGTACTTCATCAACCTGTGCGGACAGGACTTTCCCATCAAAACCAACCTGGAGATGGTGCGTGCCCTTAAAGAACTGGGTGATAGCAACAGCCTGGAGACCGAGTCCATGCCCCCTCATAAGGAGGTCAGGTGGAGGAAGCAACATATTGTGAAAGACGGCACCATCCAGAATACAGACAAAGACAAAGTGCCTCCTCCCCATGGCACAAAAATGTTTTCAGGTGGTGCATACATTGTGGTGAGTCGTGCCTTTGTTCACTATGTCCTTGAAGACCCCAAAGCTCAGGATCTGTTATCGTGGTCCACTGACACCTTCAGCCCCGATGAGTTTATTTGGGCCACGCTGCAGCGCATCCCTGGCGTTCCCGGGTTCATCCGCGCCCACCCTAAATTTGATGTAACGGATATGAACAGCATCTCCCGGCTTATTAAGTGGGCGTACCACGAAGGGTCATATGATGCCGTGTACCCACCCTGTCAGGGCATTCATGTCCGTGCCGTTTGTGTGTACGGGGTCGGGGACCTGCAATGGATGCTAGAACAGAACCATTTATTTGCTAATAAGTTTGATGTAGACTTTGACCCTATCGCCATGCGATGCTTGGGGAAGTATCTCAGGCACAAGGCCCTGCACTTGCAACATTGACAGTACTATCTGCTGCAATGACTGGTTGCTAACTCTTTAATCCATATTAGCTACTATGGAATTTATATGAAGGGCATACAGCGTGGGGCGGCACGGTGGCGCAGTGGGTAGCGCTGTCGCCTCACAGCAAGAATGGCCTGGGTTTGATTCCCGGCCGGGTGACCAGGGTCATTTCTGTGTGGAGTTTGCATGTTCTCCCCGTGTCTGCGTGGGTTTCCTCCGGGTACTCCGGTTTCCTCCCACAGTCCAAAAACATGCAGTCAGGCCAATTGGATGTGCTAAATTGCCCCTAGGTGTGAGTGTGTGTGTGAATGTGTATGTCTGTCTGTCTGCCCTGCGATGGACTGGCGACCCGTCCAGGGTGTATCCTGCCTGGTTTAGATGATGGATGGATGGATGGCATACAGCGTAATAACAGTACTGAAGGTTGCAGCATTGTGCCTTATCACAATCTTATCTCAGGTCAAGTGTATATGTCGTCATGCCACATCTAACACCTAACCCACTTCCTTTATGTGTTCATAAACATTATGGTTCTGTGACAGGACTGGGTAGAAGGTATCGTCATTGTCGGGACAAGACATTGTATCTCCTTTTTTGCCTTTTTTGACATCACTTAAAAATGCATTTTTACACTGTGTTAACAATTCTTTGTGAGTGGGCAAATAGAAGTGGTCCAATATTACAACTAAAATTACCATTTTGGAGATGCAAAGTTTCTTCCAACAACAATGATATATTTTAGATGTGAAACATGCACACAAATGTTGGCATTGCTGACGTTATGGAGAGATTATAGCTAAATACTGCTCTTAAAAATAAAGATGCCAAAAGGGTTCTTTGTGCCATGCCATTGAAGAGTAGATTTTGGTTTCTTAGAGCACATTTCAAAGGATGGTTCATTGAAGAAATGAGAAGCTCCACATAACGCAAAAGCCCTAGAACACAGGTCAGCAACCCAAATGTTAAGAAGAGCCATTTTGTCCTTTTCAACAAAAATCAAACCACCTTGGCAGCCACAACATTTTATGTTAATTTTATTGAAGTATTGTTTTACCATCTGGGTTGTAAATGTGTCTCAGTATGTGTTAATGTCCTGGTGTAGGCTAAAAATATATAATATAACAAAAACGTAGACTTACTTTGCTCTGCTTTAAGCTTTAGCTCAGCTATAGCCACTTTTCTCACATCTCTGGCAGGAAACTTTTCTATATTAAATTTCTTGTAAAATATCTCTTAACATTTGACTTTTTACGAAGCTGAAGTCAGCTTCTTGTTCGAATTTTCCTGTTCCACCTTAAATGATGCCTGAGGTGCCAGAATGTAACTGTTGCACCATTTAAGGTGGAATGGGGAAAATTCGAACGAGAAGCTGGCAAATGACAAGCTTACTTCAGCTTCGAGACTTTTTAGTGTCTGTCAGTTTCTCGTTGCAGATTAAACGTAAAAGGAAACCAGCCAAAGTGTATATAAATACAAACGAGTCTGTCCATTTGTCTCTAAATTATCGATGTTTGTCTTGTAATTATCTTTCTTTTCTTTGCTCTTACGTTAGCTACCGTCTAGGCGAGATTGTTGTCTGCGTTACTATGGTGACCAGCAGTCTGCGTGCCAAACTTCAGGGTTAAAGGTCGGTGAATTAGCAGTTGTACATTAATTGCATTTAAGCAAAGCTTTATTTACTGCAAATGAGGATTAGTTTACTATTGCCTAAAAATCTAATTCTGCTGTGGAGCCGCAACAGGGCAGTAAAAGAGCTGCATGTTGCCATCCCTGCCCTAGAAAAAAACCTTAAACTGATGTAGAACCTTTAGGTCAGAGGTGCTCAATCCTGGTCCTGGAGATCTACCAACATGGAGAGTTCAGATCCAACACACCAATTTCAGATGCCTCTGAAAGCCTACATTACTTGGATCAAGTGTCTTAGATTAGTGTTGCAGCTAAACTCTGCAAGGTGGGAGATCTTTAGGACCAGGATTGGACACACCTGCTTTAGATAATGTGAAGGTTCTTTAAACCGTTAAAGGGTCCAAATCATTCAGAAAACTGAATTATCCATTATCCATGAGTTTGATGTGGTATGTAGTCATTGATCAACTTTCAGAACATGTGTTCACTCCACACAGTTCATATATATAACTGCAAAAATAACCTGCTTTGTGATGATTTACACATATTTACACATATCCCTCTATTCAGCCTATAGCAGTTTAGCTCCGCCCATTCACACTGAAGTTATAAGGAGTGTAAGGCTTTTTGGAAGTGATACAATCAGAACAGAGCTGGTTTACATCCATCCATCTTAAAGGCGCAGCAACAAAAACTAGACTGCTTAGTTACAAGGTGTAAAGAGAAGCTGGAAGATGGTTGCGTAAAAATGCATTGCAATCTTTTGGTAGATAAAACCACAAGAATGTTGGGAAAGAATGATGTGTTTGCACTACAATTGACAGATATTTAAGTTCTCTGTAGAGGATGTTAACTTATTTTCACTTAGTAAATCAACGAAACATGTCATTTAATCAGGGGTGTTGAAACAGTTGCATATGAGTGTTTCATTTAGAAAAAAAAGTGGTTGTACCTTGGCATCACTTAAAGGACCCTTTATAGTACCTTTTTTTTTAAAGAGTGTATTTCACGTTTTTAAAATTTAGGAATTTTTTTCTTGTGATTTTTCCTCATAAGGGCAAGCCAAATATCCTCACATCACAACTTTTTCAAGTTTTTGTATTATCCGGGAAACATTTGATCACTACAAAGAGCTAAACATACACACACATACACACACACACACACGCACACACACACACACACTTACACACACTCAAACACTGTGCAGAGGGGACGTCTCACTGAAACACGGCAGCAATGAAGCAGGAAATGCATGTTTAATGAAGCATAAACATACTTAAGCACTGCCGTGCAGGAGAGGTTAACAGCACATGCATGCGAACTGTCTCTCTATCCACACACACACACACACACACACACACACACACACACACACACACACACACACACACACAGATATATATGTAAATATGTACACATGTATACATATACACACATATATATACATCTGTATTTATATTTATATATAAACACAACACTGCCTCTCTCACACAGACACACCTGTGTATTCACCTTCAGCTGAGAGCTAAACTGTGATGATGGTCTCTTGCCATCTGTCTCGCTCTGTTCCGCTCAAACTCTACAGCAAGTCAAACACAACAGCCCAAACCAACAGAGGCCGTCTGTGCATTATGCAAGCAACAAAAATGATTCAATTTCCATTTTTTCCCTCTCCCCTGTCAGTGCTCTGCAACTTACTTGAAAACATACTGTAATTTCAGCTGCTTTTTCAGCTGAACGCCATATGTTCCTGTTGTTCTTGTTTTCTGAAGTAATATATTTAATAATTATTTCATTATATTTATTTCTTCTTCCAGCTTAGTCCACTTTACCCAGTTCTATTTACATTTTTCTCAGCTCAGCATGGTCAGCATCATAAAATGCAAATTACTGGTCATGTTAAAGTCTGCAGCTTATTATATATTAGCTGTAGTGTGAGACAGAAAAAAAGTTACTCTTAACCTGTAAGAAAAGGATATGAATGGACAAAGTGGGTCATCTTGAGTGAGTTCTCTGAATCAGAATTCAGCTTTTGATCAATGCAGTTGTAGCAAAGGCTCACGCAGCTCTGGTCAAAAGACATGTTTTATTGAAAATAAGTACATGTTCTCTACAAATAACACACTTCTGCGCATTTTAATGCATTGTTACTGTTTATTTGCTGAATTGCACATATTGGGGGGTGGGGGGGGTGAAACATAAAATGTCATCTTTGCAAGTTTTATTTAATATTTTATGTTTAATTTTTTCCAACATATAAACTCAAATGTTCTGTGTAGAGAAATGTGCTAACCTGTTTTCACTTTTAAAAAATCAACAAAGCATGTTCTTGAGTGGGGGGTGTCAAACTTTTTCACTTGGCTGTAACTAGACTATGGGACTTTCTCTTGTGAAACCACAATGTTTTCAGGCAAGCACAACCACTGAGGTCTATTTTTCTGGCACACGACAACCACCATGCTTTCAACAAAAACAGAGAGCGAAAGAGAGAAAGACAGAGAGATTAAAAAGAGAGAAAGGAATGAGAACTCAATGAACTGAATACAGGTGACCGACACAATATGTGACATTTTCAAAGACACGTCATCATAACGTTGTCTTTATTTGACATTTACACTTAACATCCCAGCATTTTGGATAGTAACTTCACTCAGAACCATAACTGTCTTCTAGCCTTTGTCATTTGGATGTACTGTGTTAAAACCTCAAACATCAGCTATTTTGCCTTTTATCAATTCCTTTTAATGTGATTTCTCAACACTGTTGTATTTATTTTGATTTGTAAACAACATGAAGTAACAACAGTTAAAATTGGTTGTTTGTTGTTTTGTTTGTGTCACAAACCTTTTTAAACAAGAGAAGGCATGTATAGGAGTCAGAGGTGAACCATGACTATTAGAGCTAGGCCTTCAGTTTGGGCAGTAATTTTTGCTATGGGATGAAGCTTGTAAAAGATATTCCCTGTTTTATTTTTGAAGCGTGTAAAAGACATATTAGCATAAAGTTTAGCAATTTTACATCGACTCCTTCAGTAAACAGCCCTGACACAGAGCTGCTGCTGCTGCTTTCCATTTCTAACTTCTGAATGGCGACTTCTAGAACAGCTAAAGTGACATTTGTTCTCACGAAACTGGACCCTTTTATTGTAAATTGAAACACGATTGGCTGAAGTCAGTTCCTAATTGTGTCAGTGATTAATTTGACACATTACGCCTTCAGTTCAGCACCTAAAGTCCTAACCAATGGGAGAGCTCGCTTGGCTGTATCTGCCTAGATACCACACAGAAAAAGGTCCTGATTGGACAATTTTCTTTTGGTCTCTTTGAGAATTTAACCCTTTTGTTTCCAAGAAAACTTGAAATGCAATAACAGTATTGCTACAATACTTGCAGAGTTTAAATACAACAAGCATGATGACTGTAAATGGATGAAGAATTACAGACTTTATTATTTCACAGAAATCGCTGGGCCTTCTCTGGAGGCCTAGGAGGCCCTGAGGGTTATATGGGCAATATGGACATTTTATTGTTAATAAACCACATTA